TGTCAATTCCTTTCCCCACGCTTTCCCTTGGTAGTGTCTTCTGATCCAGCACCAGGGCATGCCTAACACTGCTCTACCCAGTTCACCGGGGGTTGCACTTATTTTGAACAAGCTGTGGAAGGTTTTCATTATCTTCTTGTGTGTTTTCATCTAGGAATAGACTACATTTTTTGTCTTGTAAACTCATTTTTCACCTTAAATGAGTGTGTGGGGGGGATTCTTTTAATTTTTATTCTTAGGGCGGGGAAGAGAATTAGAGCCTGATTCTGGTTGCTCAGGATTATGATTGCCTTTGTGTACAATGATTTCATTTCATTTCATTTGTTTTGATTCATTAATTTTTATTTGTGTGTATTGTCCATAACCATGGGCAGCAAGTACGCTAATTGTGATGATCTTTATGAATAGTGCACGGCCACACAGAAAAATAAAGTTTCTAATCATTTCAGATTTACACAGTAGTGCTGCTGCATATTTCTCCATGGGACATCTCACCTCACCTCTCATTGTCTCCCCTCATTATTTACAGTTATTGGTTTGTTTTCATGTGTATCTTATATTGAGTAGGAAGAACCAGTGAACACAGAAGAAAATTCAGTTACAAATGTCAGCTGTTGTAGCCAGAGGCAAACCTTATTCTGAACCTAATGCAGTATCTACTCAGAGACATAGCTATGCTTTTCCATTCTGTGCCCTGTTTCCTATCCTCCATTCCATTGGTTGGGATTGCTCCTGCTTTGGGCAGGGGGCTGGTCTTGATGACCTCCTGAGGTCTCTGCCAACCTTAGGATTCTATGACTGCGGCAGCATGCGGCCACCTCAGTGTACTATCACCTTGGTACTTGAAAGCTTATTCTTTATTGACATGCAAGAGATTTTGGTAACTCCTAGTAGTGACTGTCACATTTATGCATAGAAACCTCCCAAGCATTGAGACAATTAGACCCTTTGAAGATGACATACTGCCCTTTATCTGTGCTTGGCTTACATCAATGATGACCATTTCAATGTAAGTGAGGGTTGCGTATATGCCTCAAGGGCACTAAGGTTATGCCAACACACAAAATGCTGCAGCTGCGCCACTATGGTGCTTCAGTGAAAACACACTCCAGGCCAACAAGAGCACTTCCCTCCCCAACAGATGTTAGCTAGATTGATGGACGGTTTGGGCTATCTACAGCAAGGGTTAAATTAACTACAGCATCCAGGTGGATTTTTCACACTCCAGTGCAGCAGTTATACTGACCGAATTTCCTAATGGACACCAGCTCTTAGTGCTGTCATTTTACACTTCCACAGGCCCTGTTCCTGCTCTCATGAAGGTTAGCATGGGGAGCAGGAGCAGACTCCTAGTTGTCGAGCAGTAATGCAGAGTTAAGTTGTCTGCTCTGGTGTCAGTTTCTACGTCACAGACCCACCACCTTCACCTGCCCTGTGCGGGGCCAGGCTGCTGCTCTCAGCCCCCCTACACCACACAAAGTAGAGGGTCTGCATGGCTGCCCGGGCTCCCCAACCAGGCTCCACGCTTGCCTGGCTGGGTGGCGGGGCCTTGGGGAGAAGAGAGAAAGGGCAGGTCCTCCCCACTGAAAAGTGAATGGGCCAGGCCATAGACTTTCAAAAAATGGGGGGGTTGTGGCCCCCACCTAGTTCCAGCACCACTGTTGCCTACACTTCCTTCACTCTAGCAGGGATGCTTCCAGGTCTGCCTCTGAAGCCACATGTCCCACTCAGACCTTGATTGCTAACAAATAGCCCTCTCTCGCTGAGGGTATGTCTACACTACCCTCCTAATTCAAACTAGGAGGGTAATGTAGGCATACCGCACTTGCAAATGAAGCCCAGGATTTGAATTTCCCGGGCTTCATTTGCATGAAGCCGGCCGGCGCCATTTTTAAATGCCGGCAGTTCGAACCCCGTGCCGCGTGGCTACACGAGGACATTTAAAAATGACGGCACCCGGCTTCATGCAAATGAAGCCTGGGAAATTCAAATCCCGGGCTTCATTTGCAACTCCGGTTGCCTACATTACCACCCTAGTTCGAACTAGGGTGGTAGTGTAGACATACCCTCTGTCTGCAGCCCCTTTCTTGTCCAAAGGGCTGCTGCAGCTTCCTCATGACTCAGCTCTCCATGTAGGTCACCTTTCCGGTGCTGGGCTAGTTCGAATTAGCAGGGTAGTGTAGACATACCCTGAGTGAGCGTTAGCTCCTGAAGGAGCATACTTGTACTGTCTATAGCCAGTATTTCGCCTCCAGGGCCATTGCTATGCAGACCAAAGTTCTCTTGCGGCTGCAACAATGGCCGTGAGTATTCTGTTTCAGTAAAGTGTGATGGGGCAGTTGCCCCACATAGGAGTGAAAGGAATTAAGGTGGCCAATTAGCTCCACTCCTGAAGGAAGAGCCAGAGCACATACCACTAAATAGAAGCAGGCTCAGCTGGAGCTGGGGTAAAGGTCTCCAGGCAGGTGAGTGGTTGCAGTTATGCCCTGAATGGAGCAAGATGAGTGGGCTGGGAAACCACATGAGTAGGAAGAAGTTCAAGGAGAGAACAGCAAGGGTCAGGACAGTGCAGAGGCCTAACTGCTTGTTATGGGGTCCCTGGGCTAGAGCTCAGTATAAAGAGTGAGCCTGCAGTCCCCTACTAGCTACTGAGGCAGTGGCACCGTGGGGCAGCTAGATGGAAGACTGCTAAGGAGGAAGGACTTTGGATTTGATTGAAAGGTGGACTGTAGAGGCTTGGCCAGCGAGCTAAGCTACGTAGAGGAGACTGCAGTTCCTGGAGTGAGAAGGGTTGCAAGAGGAGACAGACCGGGGGAAAGAAGGGGAGCACAATGTTTATGTTCTTATGTATAATGCCTGATGGAGCTAATGCTCAAGCCAGCCAGCAGGGGGTGCCACTAGCTGTACATGTAAAGACCAGACATTAGTAAATAACTGCTGTAATTAAAGGAGCGGTAGCATCTACAATCAAAACCCAAAAAGCAAAGTAAAATGGTAATGGAAGGGGAGGGATTAAGGTTTTCCCCCTTACGTAGTTTCTCCAGACCCCTGGCCAGTTGACTCCCATGGGCTGTAATGAATCTGGATCAGACCCTAGCAAAATCACAGGGGCAGAGTCTCATCAGTTTTCATAAATCTCCTTGTGAGTCTATGGAAGGGTTTCTTGCCACTCTGTTCAAAGTACTGAGCCAGCAAGTCAGCCCAAAGAAGACCCTGTAGTCACCAGCCCAGCATTTGCTTCAAGAACCAGGGCTTTTCTCCTTCCTCTCTCATGCTATGAGAAAGGATACTCCAGGAAGGAGACTCACTCACCATGTACTAAGATGGAGTGATTTAAGCCAGAAGAAACACAGCTCCAGTGGACTAGCAGTGAGGGCTGCTACCTGAGACATGTTTGTGGAAGACACTGTGACCCTGTTCCCTCTAAGCTGGGCTGCAGCACAGCTTCACAGGTGATTCATCAGCCCCACCCAGTCAGTCAGCTCCCTGCATGGAGCCCTGAGCCTTTGGCTGGGTGGGGCTGATGAATCACCTGTGAAGCTGGGCAGCCACACAGCTTGGAGGGACACTGGCTGTGACGAGAATCATGTTTTCCACTTGCACCCAGGAAGCTGAAAGAGTACCATCACCTCCTCACTGCTTAAGACAGTCGTGTAG